TCCTGCTACAAAAGCCCCCTTTTTATGTTCTGCATGCATGGCTTTACAACCACGACTTTCTAGGAAGGCTATGAACATAAATTCAGTTAATGCTGTGCTCAATGAGTTTACTATTCCAGATAACATTTTCCCATAGATCACCTCCAGCAGCTCTTATGTCTATCCTGGCCACTCAAGAACTCTTGCTAGAAAACATCCTGGAATGCATTCCAGTTGGAGAATTTGCAGTTATTCAGCCCTTGAGTGATGAGTTCTGCCTTGTTCTGGGATATCTTCTCACTTGGAAGTTAACATTAGCTTTCTTCAAAGCAGCTTCTTCTCAGGTATATGTTCAGTCTTTTCATTTTAACTGAATTTCTTAAACTACTTATTTAGTTTGAATCTTGAAGCTTCATCCAGCCTTGTTATTAATTATGTAATCCTACCTCTTGTTTTTGTGGAATTAGTGAAAATCTGAAAGCATCCCTGGACTTAGATTTCTGCACTGCTATAGTTGAGGGTGGTAATATTGGAGGAATAAAGAATTAAGATTCATTAATAGATGATTCTTTCTTGAGTTTTCAAAGAAGCTTGCTACATATTACGATCTTCTAATCCTTCAAAATGGTGCAGAGAACTAAACTGCTCTTCTAAACGCTTGTTCTGAATCACAGTCTTGCTTTTCCTCCCTGCAAGGACATATTTGTATTATTTACAGAATAAGCTATATTTATGATATAAAGTGTGTTTTGTATTTTTTGTGTATTTTTTTTTAATGGTACCAGCTGCGAGTTCTCTACTCACAATACCTTAGAAGAACTAAAAGCTTGAATAAACTGCTGTATCACTTGTTCAGGCTTATGCCTGAAAACCCTGTCTTTTCTGGGCCAACTTCAGAAGTTCCAAATAAGGACACAAAAACCTTCTTTACTGAAGAGCTTCATTTAGATGTTAAAGGTTAGTAAAAATTGTATTTGTGTATTTGAGAGAGTTGTTATATTACAGAAGTTTAAATATGGTCTTTTTTGCTTAAAAATACTTATTTAGAAAATCTTACCTATAAAACAGATGACACAGAGAGACAAATACATACATATGTTTAGAAATCTTTGGCTAACACTCCCCATTTGAAACTTTGTCCAAGTTGAAGTGTTTATCAGGAAAATCAAGGACAACAAAAAACAGGAATAATATACATTGCTGCTATTGAAATCTGAATGTAAAGATTCCAAAACACTAAAGATATGTGATCTATTCTGGGACCATTGCTTCTAGATATATCTTTCTAATGCTAAATAGAATTTCCATTTTTTCTTGCATTTCAATCTATAAATACAAAAAATTAAAAAATATTTTAATATATGTATTTTAAATGTTGGAGACACTGTGTGTTGTTTTTGTCATGCTGTTCAGAAGACCCAGTTAATCGATGAAGAAAGAAAATACCCATCTCTTTTTAGCTGAGAAACATGAAAAAGAATATTAAAGTTTCTTCATTGAAGTTTTTATTTTATGTACCTGTGTAGGTATAAGCAAAGAAACTGAGCTTCCATTTCTTAATTTTTTGCTTGAACATCACTGTGTTGCAGAACAATTTGTCTGGATGACAGTAAGAAAGAATTACTGACATGATATCCCAAGGGAAAGATTTCCTTTATCTCATCATTGAATCATTAAGGTGGAAAAGACCTCCAAGATCATCCGAGTTCAACCTTTGATCGAACACCACCGTGGCCCCTAAACCATATCAATAAGTGCCCTGTCTACTTGTTTTTTGAACACCTCCAGGGATGGCAACTCCACCACTTCCCTGGGCTGCCTGTTCCAATGCTTAAACAATCTTTCAGCTAAGAATTTTTTCCTAATATCAATCTGAACCTCTGTTGGTGCAACCTGAGGCCATTTCTGTGCACGAACACTGCAAACCTCAGCTGTTCTCCAAACATCTTATTCCTTTTCCCTCCAAAGTGAGCATTTTGTAATTTCTACAATATAAAATTATTCTTGATTTATGGTAGTCCACATAGTGGTCATCTCTAAACTAGACTGTGAATTTTGAGGTGTGAAGTGTTAAGCTAAGAAACAAAGAAACCAGCCTTGGGAAGAACAGCTGAGTCAAACAAGCCCTCAGAGTAGCAATAATAGGAACACGTATGTGAAATTCTGGTTATTACCGCAGTTCTTTTGAGATCAGAATTTTTGTATGTGGTGTGGAGGCACCAACATCCATGACTGATGTGTCAAGAGTATCTGAGCATCCTTTCTTTCCCTCCCCGGGACAGGAGCGCTGTCATCCCAGATCCCGCACTTGGCCTGCTCTGTGTACCACATCACACTGAAAGACTTGCCGGCCATGGTCAGGCTTTGGTGGAACAGCTGTGAGAAACGTGTCTTCAATGTTGTAGATAAATTTACAAGCAAATATGTCAGCAGTGTGCTCTCCTCCCAGGAAATATCTTCTGTGCAGACCAGCACACAGTTATTTAATGGCATGACGGTTAGTAAGACTTCTCTGTCCTTTCTTTTTATTTCCTTCAGTTTTTTTGCAGACATTTTAAGAAATCTGACTTCTCACAACCAGGCTGTGGTTCTGAGTGTTTTATATGTTTGTGTTTTTGTTGTTCTAAATGACTGATGAAACATAATTTTGCTTGGTATCAATATATTAAATTGATGTTTATTAATATTCTGTTTAGAAAAAAAATGAAAGAATGGGTTTTAGGATGTTGGAGAAGTTGAGGAAGTGGAAGATACTGTTATCAATGTACTACTTCTTGCTTTTTTAAAAAATGTAATCCATCAGTAGATTGGAAAATGGCTGGTCATTTCTTTTTAGTTTGCCAAGATAGAAGTAGATTTTTGTTTTCTTTGAGAAGAATGTTTACCCGGTCTAAGGAAATTATTTAATGTGTATAGTAACGTATTTATAGTTTATATTATGTATATATATAAAGACTAGAGATGGTGAGTATCTCTCTGGAGTTTTTTTAATATGTACATTTTTTTTCATAGGTAAAAGCTCGGTCTGCAACACGAGAAGTCATTGCTACCTATTCAGTTGATGATATCTTTATTGAGCTAATAATACAGCTTCCACCAAATTACCCACTGGGATCCATCACGGTTGAGAGTGGAAAGAGGGTTGGTGTGGCCGTTCAGCAGTGGCGCAATTGGATGCTACAGTTAAGCACATACCTTACACATCAGGTGGGTTTAGAGAAAGCTCCTAGTTTTGAAAACTTTAGAAGTCCATATAATAGAAAAATATTCCTGGTAATGCAGTGTTGTACAGATCTGTATAACGGATCTCATGAGTAGATCACAAAGAACTTCACAGGCATCGGGTCACTCTAAACATCGGCTTTTTCCCAGATGCTTAAAGAGAGGTAAAATGATCAGCCTGCTAAGTCCTGTTAAATCCATAGCCCAAGTTGAAAATTCAGATCTCTTAAGACACGGGCCAGTGTTTGCCCCATGTGGCAATGCCATCTCAACTATAATTTGAAAAAAACCCTAACCAAACAACACCAAAAAAAAGTCAAACCTGAAAACCCAGTCCATGAAATTCTCTAAAAGACCAGTGGTTGCTGAGGTTGTATCATCTGTGGTTATAACAAAACAGTGATTGAAAATTTCAAAATCCCCTTTTAAGTGCTCCTAAGTGCATTCTGCCTCTGTGATGAATACTTGCATTTCTGTAGATTAGACTATCATAAATTACTCACTGCATGTATTGTATATAATTTCAGATTATAAAGCCTTCAGGCTTTGTTTCCTTCATGTGTTTTTGAATAATAGTAAGTATAGTCTGAAGGAATTCTACAATATTAACAGCTCTTTTCCCTCTGTTAGAATGGAAGTATTATGGAAGGTTTATCTTTGTGGAAAAATAATGTTGATAAACGTTTTGAAGGCGTTGAAGATTGCATGATCTGCTTTTCAGTCATTCATGGTTCCAACTATTCTCTTCCCAAAAAAGCTTGCAGAACATGCAAGAAAAAGTTTCATTCAGCTTGCTTGGTAAGTACCTTGACTAAATGTTTTTAAATAGGCCAAATATCCTGGAATCATAGAGCGGTTTGGGTTGGAAGGGACCTTCATAGCTCATCTAGTTCCAACCCCCCTGCCATGGGCAGGGACACTTCCACTAAACCAGGTTGCCCATACATGCACAAGTTAAAAAGGGTTTTTTGTTTTTACTGTTTCTTGTTGTTTTTTTTTTTTTTAAATATAGCTAATGTTTTGGTAGTTCTATTCATTGGCAGATAATGATTACTATTGATGTACAGCATTCCTGATATTCAGCTTGCATTTGTATATTAAACAGCTGTATTTCTCTTTTTTCAGTATAAATGGTTCACATCCAGCAACAAATCCACGTGTCCACTCTGTCGAGAGACATTCTTCTGAAATTAGACTGTCTTTCTTCTTTCTGCGAGCAAACGTGAAGAGCAGGTGGTAAACTGTATGCTGAAAGAAGCTAACTACTTGGAAATAATGTCAGTTACTTTCAATTCTTCACTAGTGGAATACGACACATATTTACCTCTGGACTGTTGTTTTTGTAAGTTTGAAGATTCTTCTTTGATATAAAGAAATAGATAACAATAATTTATTTTAATTGGTATATTTTTAAGATATGTTAAAAATTTCAGAAATAATGCAGAGTTATGTCTGAGAAGTGGTGTTTAAGCCACAGCATAGTTGATTAAAAACCTCTTACTTTAGGCATATTCTAACATGGTGTCATGTAATTAACCCAGATCATACCTCTTAATATAACAGGTGAATATAAAAGAGGTGGTATAAAGACTTGATTTTTGATTATGACGCATTCATAATAGTCCCTCTTATGGGACTGTTGGGGGGGAAAAAAAACTGTTGTTGCTGTTAGACATTAAGGCATGAAACTACAGTGATAATCTTCTGTTAAAGCATAAAATTTTCCCAAAACTCCTCAGCCATCCAGCAGCCTAAAAACATGAAAACTCAGAAGCCCAACTAAATAGAGAGCACAATCATTCCTGCATGACAATGAATAACACCAACTATTTATTGCTGATTGGTTTCTAAAGAGAAGGCATACACACTGATCAATCTTTGTTTATCTTCATTAGCTGGCAAAGTAGCTATCGCTGAATGTCCACCGTACTTCCACTGTCCTATAATCATAAGGACTCTTAAGTGAGCATACAGATGTATCAGAATTTAATAGCCTTCAACTATACATTTTTTTCATGCCTTTTATTTTTTTTAACAGCGGTAGCATACTAATATATTCCAACCTGGATGATATTTGTGGTGGTTTTCTTTGAAAAGTCAATAAAAGAGGGGAATAAATAAATTGGGTCAATCTCTGTAGTCTCTGGATTGCTGTCTCTTCCTCTGTGTGATAAACTTTCAGGCATTAACAGTATAAATTTTAGGTTCTGTATGTTTTCTCAAAGTTGGTCACTTTTGAGGTGAGAGCTCTAGAAATGATTTTTATCTCTTGATTACTGAAGTCTATATTTTTAACAGGTAAGACTGGGCTTCCAGAGGAGAAATTCCTTGACCTTTTTTTTTAAGAGAAAATGGAAAGGATTTAAAACTGGTATCAAAAAGGTCTAGCTGAAAAGACAAAGTAGGTAGCAGCTCTCTTGTGTCACAGTTACTGATGCTAAACCTCGAGGATTGTCTCAGTTGCATCACTTTGGTTATTCTAAATAACTTATTTGTGAGGTCAGTAACTGATTTGAAGGCCAGCTGGGGTTAACCAGGTAATGCTTGAAAAGAGCCATATTAAACTCTTCTAGCAGACCTTAACAAATGCTAAGTGTACATGCATACATCTGTAGATGGCAAATTTCAAAATTTAAAAAAAAAATTACCTGTTGTGTCACTAGTTCCCAGTCTTCAACAGGATGATGGGAGCATAACAGGGATCACCTCTGGTAGAAGTCACCTGCCTTCTCATTTGGAGTGCATTTTGAGAAGTACTTCCACCAAAGTTGCAGCAGGCAAATTGGAGCCAGGAGAACTGCCTCATGAATTACTTAAGTAGATAATACCTGTATTTCCATTTCCAAATAGCCAGTTGTTAGGTAGTTCAGTGCAATCATTCTTTTGTTCAAAGCATGTTGTTTTATTACACTTTCTGTTCTGATTTTCATTATTCTGTCCTTTATAACTTAAAACTATACACTGTTGAGTGTTGTGATCTAATGTGCCAGATGACTGCCCTCTTTTCTCTTTGATTACCTATTTTAAAACTAATTCTTTAGTGATAACTAAAATCTAGGTAGTTTAATTAAAACTGCCTTTTGTTAAACCTGTAGCTTGATTCTATTGCATGTTTTGACTACATCTTATCTACATCTACTTCTAGAGGGGTCTAAGGCTGTGACAGCATTTTTGTTCATTCAAACAGCCCTGTGCCTGTGATTATAACATCAAACCCCACGATTCTACAGAAAAACAAAATTGCTGTGCATAAAACCTTCTCCTAACACTTTTGTAAGGGAAAACTGAAGCAAAAAAAAAAAAAAGTGTGGCTTTGCTAAGGGTCTGCTATCAAGTCAAAGAAGTTATAGAAGTAGGAAGCAGGCAAATTGCAGTATAGCTTCTCAGAAGTGACTAGTTGGTCACCACAAAATCAAAACTTTGCTTAAAATTTTCAGTGTGTAAATACTTTATATCACATATGGCCACAAAGTTTCTCTTAACAAGTTATTTACAAGGTAAAACAAAGTCCTGAGGTTAATGAACTGCAATTTTTTTTTAGCCTCAGTAGTTTCAAGAATTATAATTTCTTGTATACAGCACAGGCATGTTTGTGCTAACAGCACCTCCACTTTTGCCTGTCTAAACCCTCCTTTTTTCAGTCTCCTGGAGAGATTTTTTTAGGTCACTGCACAGGAAAGCTCTTCATTGGGCATTGGGGTCTGTTGGTCAGGAAATACCTTCCTATTTTGGATAGTGATTTTGAGAAAGGACTTTTATTCCGTGTCTCTACTTCCTTACAGTCGTTGTTTTCACTTACCCAGGAACTAGCCTTTTTAAAAGCATGCTTTTTATCTCCTTAATACCTTTTCATGGATGACTACTCTTCATCTAGATTACTCCATAGTAGTATTCTCCTTGAATGGCATAAAATGGCATAAAAGGGAGCACAATCACCGTGTTACTGCCCAGAAGACTTCAGGAGAAGAATAGCATGCCTTTAATCATAGAATTCTTAAGGTTGAAAAGACTGTCAAGGTCATGAAGTCCAACCAACCCACCACCACTTCCATGTTCACTATTAAACGATGTCCTCAAGTGCTATATCCATATGTTTTTTGAACATTTCCAGGGATGGCGACTCCACACTTCCCTGGGAAACCAATTCCAAAGCTTGACAACCCTGTGTGAATTTTTTTTTTTAAAAATACCTAATCTAAACCAACCCTGGCGCAACTTGAGGCTGTTTCCTCTCATCCTGTCACTTGTTACCTGGGAGAAGAGGCCGACCCACACCTGGGTGCAGCCTCCTTTCAGTGACTTGTAGAGTGACAAGGTGTCTCCTGAGCCTCCTGTTCTCCAGGCTAAACACCTCCAGCTCCTTCAGCTGCTCCTCATGAGACTTGTCCTCCACACCCTTTCCCAGCTCCGTTGCCCTTCTCCAGACATGCTTCAGCACCTCAATGTTCTTCCTGAATTGTGGGGCCCAAAACCGAACACAGGATTTGAGCTGTGGCACAGGGGCACAGTCACTGCCCTGCTCCTGCTGGCCACACTGTTGCTGATCCAGGCCAGGATGCCACTGGGCCTCCTGGCCACCTGGGCACAGGCTGGCTCATGTTCAGCTGCTGTCGACCAGCACCTCCAGGTTCTTCTCTGCTGGGCAGCTTTCCAGCCACTCTGCCCCAGCCTGCAGCACTGCAGGGGTTGTGGTGCCCCACGGGCAGGACCCGGCACAGGAAAGACACTTCACCTTTCTGTTCAGAAGTGCACCTTTTCCTTCTGACAGAAACAAACTTGCTCATTGTGCTTTAGACCCGTAAAGGTGCCTGATACTACATCAAAAGGAGTACCACTGGTTCAAAAGTGGTAGCTACAAACTAGCTATAAAAACAGGAGGGACTATATCAAGTACATTATTATAACAAGACACAATGACAAATGTACAAATACCTATTTATAGATGAAAAAGCCTTGGGTGCTTAAGTACAAATGCAGCAGGGTAGGTTATTTTATGGTTCCCCCACAACTGTCCTGCAGATAGCCAGAGTATAACAGTACCTCTGCCAGCAGGCAATAGCTGGTTCACATCCAGAATAAATATAAATACAGAGTCTTGATCAGTCTCACTGCAGTAATCAGGAAGTGAGAATACACCCTAAGAGGGTGAAAATCTTGGTGTAAAAATTAATTTGACAACTTCAGTGTTCAGCTGACAATGAGGTGTCCAACCTTCTGCATGCCTACTACCTCTGGAAGGTGAAGAGGAATTATCAAGACTTCCTAAATTTGAGGATAGTCAGCTTCTCTTGTCCTGCTTGCCTGGAAAGTACTTGTGTGCCTTCTAAGCCACTTTTCTTCATTGTTTCCAGAATTTCATCTGTAATTGAAAGTTCAGTGTTTACAACTGAATTAGAAAATGGTTATGAAAGACAGTGCTAAATATCTGTCAAATGTAAACTGTAAAGTAAAGATTAAAAACTATGTTCTCTTATTCTTTCAGACAATAATTTTTATGCAAAATCATCTTCCACCAAGAACAAATAAAACTTACAGTTTACTAACTGAAGTTCAGTATTTTCTATTAATAACAAAGAAAAATTCAGTATAAAGCTAAACTGTAGGAGAAAGGAAAAAGGAGATTTTGCAGCATTGTATCCCAAAAGCTGCCTAGTAAATCGGGTGTGAAGAATAATCTGTCTTCTTAAAATTACTTGATAACCTGTAGCCATTAACATTAGATCAGAAGAAACAAGCCCAAATCTTTTCCCTACACCTTTAAAATGAAAGATACCACATTTCCAGCTTAGGCCTTTTGCCTTTTAACACCACTGTTCTCTTCCATGAGAAAGGATTTGCCTGGCTTGGTTAATCAGTTCAGAAGATTTACAGTCACCTCTCAGACTTGGAACTGAACTCTTGCAGAGCTGCCGGGGTCCTACATACCACCATTTTCCAAACTAGCTTGAGGAGGTCTTAATATTGATAAATTTGCTTGTATTTTTAGTCTAGCTGTGATCAATGTTTTGATTAATAGTGTTTAAACTGGTTTGGCACATTTAAATGTCCAAGGACAGTGATCACCTGGATTATTTTCTTTAATTGTGACCAAGTAGAATAATCCTCCTGGTGAAAGTAGGTCTGGTACTAATGGGAAAACTCTATCCATTACCTCTCTGCCCTGTTTGCCACCAGCCCAGGATACCTCTATTCCATGGCCTTTCACCTAGGAAGAATGAAAACAAAGACTGTCATAATGTAGAACGATAGAATTGTCACTGATATTTATAAGAGAAACATCACTATAACCTCTATCTTTAGGTGTCTGCCATTAGAAGTGTGACAATTTTGATTCAGCAGGTTAGTTTATGCAGCAAATTACTTCAAGACTACTTTCTACAGGAGGAACATACTATTTTGTTTCAAGTTCTATTCTTAAACTGAATTAAAAGAGCTACATTGTCACATTCCTTGTATGCATTTTCTTGTAATGTTTTATGAGCTTGTTTGCCAAGTGGAAGGTGGTCAGAAAACCCCTTAAGTGTTTATAGAGTCAAATTTCAACAGTAGGAATCTGCAGAAGCAGAGGATTTTTAATCTGCAGGAAATAAATGCATTTTCAGTTGAAAGTCTTCCATAAGAATTCCTTAGCATGCCTAACAGAAGTCCTACATTGTGGGATACCTGTCTAAAGAGCAGGCTGTGGACAAGCTGTTAGTGGGCCTTAAGCCTGAATCAACCAAGGACTTTACCTCAGGAAAAGTACTGGCACTGATGTCAGCCTGCAAGAATGCTAACTGTGAGATAGCAGCAAAGAGAAACAGGCGGAGAAAAAGGGCAGAGAGAAAGTGCAGGGAGAAAAGGCAAGAAGATGTGCCTGGACAACTACGTATGAGCCAATCACAGGATAGCAAGTACTAAGTGCTGAAAAGTGTGTTTAACTATTTCCAACCAATCGTGTAAGAACATGTATGTGTAAGAAAAGTATATAATGGAAACTGTAACACATAATAAACGGGATTCTGCCTCTTGATCATATTGGTCTGCGTGTAGTTTCTCCGTACCCTCTCGCAGTGACACTACATGGTTTATACTTGATGGAGGAAGCAGGTATTGAGAAGCAGCAGCTAGCAATCCTTATTCCCATGTAGAGTTTATAGGGAACTCCAGCATTTTCACTAAATCAGTGCTGGTCCTACAGCATCCTTTACTATTTAAAAAAACCCTTGCAGTTTACATAGCAGGGTCTTTTGGATTTGCCATCTCTCCTCTGACAGTAGAAATACCATTTCTATCGTGTATTTCAAATTTTTCTTACCTCTTCAGAAGGTGTTACCACATATGGTGGATTAAACAGCAGTAGATCAACCTTCCCATTTAATCTTGGAGACAATCCTTTGACCTGTAGATGAAGTTGATGACTCTTTTGTGGGGGGTGTTTTTTTAAAACACGAAGAATGCAAATGTTTTACATAATGCTGGATGTTCTGAGCATTTCATCCTCACTCAGGAACATTAACCTTTACTTTCTACGTGCAGGAGAAGCATCAAGAAGAAGTACCCATGCAGAGCAGAACAATTTCAATAGTCTTAGGATTATGTTATGCATAGGTTGCAGAAAAGCAAGAGACACATCTGTGGACACAGGGGTAGTACTTTATTCTTGCCCAGTTCAGAATTTAAATTAGATATAAAAGAATATTAAGTTTATCATCAGTTAACATTTGTTAGCCAAAATGACCAATCTCTGACAACTGCAGTTCAGTTCTCAGGTATGAGCAAGCTGTTCATCCATGTTTAAATCCCATTTATTGTTGCCTATCTACATCATCTTTTGTAAACATGTATATTCAGGGTTAAAGAGATGAGAAAATTGGTTTTCTCCATATCACATTTTGTAAGTAACTAAAAGTAACAACATACACAGGTCCTAAATAAATTGGAAAAGGCTGAGAGCTAAGAACTGTATAGCTTTAGAGGAAGGGGTATGATAATGTCAAGTCACTACAGAATTCCTTGTCCAGCATTTTCCCAAACTGTATCTACAGAATTTATTTTTTACATTAATTCAATGACTTTTTAGAGCTTAATTTTAAATTTTAGAGCTTGAGTAGTTTGGTTTTCTCTTCTTTCAGAAACATTTTGGCATTTTGGTTTTCTTTCTCCCCATGCATGCTTTTTAAAAGAAAGTTTGTTCTAGGCTTTTCAATATCAGGGCCACAAAGATGATTACAGGTCTGGAGCATCTCTCTTAGGAGAAGAGACTGGAGGAGGTGGACCTGCTTAGTCTGAAAAAAAGACTGAGGGGGGTGAATCTCATTAATGCATATAAGTATCTCAAAGGTGGGTGCCAAGAGGATGGTGCCAGACTCTTTTCGGTGGTGCCCAGAAACAAAACAAGGAGCAATGACCATAAACTAGACCATGACAAGTTCCACCTCATGAGGAAGAACTTCTTTACATTGAGGGTGACAGAGCACTGGAACAGCTGCCCAGGGAGGTCATGGATTCTTCCTTTCTGGAGACATTCCACACCCACCCGGACATGTTCTTAACTATTGTGTGATCTCTAGTAAGTATTAAAAAACTACAAAAACTATAAGGAAGATATTACTGAAACATTTATCTTACCAAGTCAGTAATGACTGGCTGAAGGTGAACATTGTTCAGCCGAGCTGTCTCCTGTGTACAGTAAGCTGCCATGGGGTTGATATCTGTACATCTAAAAGCAAAATATTACTAAGTGTAAGTTATAGACTACAGTACATGGAAGTTTAACCCTATGAACCACATGTTAATCTGTGTACTCTCAAAGAAAATATCCATTTCAGCATCCTTTACTTTGGAAGTAAATAGCAAAAAATAGCCAGTAAAATACACACATTGTATTAGCAGCTAAACCACTCAGTGCTACACTGTAAGTTTTAATGGCTGTCTGAAAGCTGAAATATAGGATTTCCCTTCAGCGTTAAGCTCTGCATAAATATATATATTCATACAAGTCTCTAATAAAATTCAGTTACTACCCACACCCAGGTAACTAATCTCATCAGACCACAGGAAGACTAGCTGGTGGCTAAAATTTAAGATTCAACCCAGCAAACACAAGTGTAGGCATGGAAAAATGGAATTGTAGTCACAGCACTACTTAATTGTTAGAGAACCTGAAGTAAATAGTTCAGGATCTGTTGTGGTGCATCCGCCTTCGTCCTTGGTCCAAATCTCAGAAATGCTCAACAGGCTTTCTTTTTGCTTTGATTTCCTTAGCTGTAGAACTGAGCTAATTTTTTTTGTAAACAGTTTTTAAAATGGGAAAATGAGAAATATATATGTGAGGGCTAAGCATTCTTTATTATTGCATGCAACAGTTTAAATGCTGTTATACTTACATGTACAGTGCACTGGATCCAAGAATGGAAGAAGCTAGAAATGTTGAAACCACACCAGATCCAGATCCTATTTCAAGGCAGATCGCAACTCTAAAGAGAGAAACTCTGGATGACTTTTATTTGTAACGTATAAGAGCATCACAACAGACACAGAATTAGTCGAGATAGTGTTATGAAACGTGCTGTCCTTCTCCCAAACATGCTGAAGTCATACAATACCATGAATATCCTGAATTGGAGGGGACTCACAAGGATCATCGATTTCAGCTCCTGAACTTGCTGGTCCCATGGCCCTCAATGCTCACATTATGTCACCTGTCCCATCGGGCTGCCAGGCCTCCTGGTGCCCATCCAGATGATTCTTGGTGATCACAAGCCACTTTTGGAAACACGTATGTTTCTCCTGTGCCTCACATCAAAGTTTCTATTAACTATGCAATCTCAACAGTATGGGCTACATTTCTACAGCATTTATTACACATTTATTGCAGTGAGGCTGAACAACAGAAATGATGAAAGATATGAAGCCCCTCAAAGAGAGCAGGGCTCAAATGCATGGCATCATAGAATATTCTGAGTTGGAAGGGACTCACAAGGATCATCAAAGTCCAACTCCTGCCCCTGTGCAGGACACCCCAAGAATAACACCATATGCCTGAGAACGTCGTCCAAACCCACCCTGAACTCTGTCAGGGGGCTGCGACCACGTCCCTGTGGTCTGTTCCACCGTCCAACCACCCCCTGGGTGAATGAACAACGTGTTCCTGATACCCAGCTTCAATCTCCCTGACACAGCTTCACCCGGTCCCTCGGGTCTTGTCACTGGTAACCAGAGAGAAAAGGTCCGTGTCCGTCCCTGCACTGCCACTCACGGGGAAGCTCTGGGGTCTGTCCTGTCTGCTCCTGTCCAAGCTGAACGAGTCCAGTGACCTCAGCCGCTCCTCGTATGCCCCCTCTAGACCCTTCACCATCTTCGCAGCCCTCCTTTGGACACTGACAGCTTTAAGACGCCTCTGATATTGGGGCGCCCCGTCCCTCTGTGACAGCGGCCGCCCAGCAGATTAAACCCCTCCTCGGAGGGTGCTGGTCCCGCCCCTCCGCGCCGGCCCTACCGAGCCTCCCGCAGGCGGCCCGCGTCCTGCTCCAGCGCATCCAGCAGCAGGAAGGTGTCCTCGGCCGGCTCGTACACGTCGCGGAAGGGCCCCCGCGGGCCCAGGTGCCCGTACCGCGGCGTGGGCAGCGCGGGCGCCGCCATGGCCGCCCGTCCGGCGGGCGGGGAAGGGAAGGGAAGGGGCGGGACGGCGGGCGGGAACTGCTCCGCCCCGGGAGGGAAGGGGCCGAGGCGGCGTCGCAGCGATCCCACTGAGGCAACGTGGAACATCCTCGGTGTGTGCCGCCATCCCGGCGGGGTGTCTGCGAGTGATGATGGGAGAGAACCTTGCTGCCGTCGCTCCCAATTTTGGTGTCCGCTTCACCAATTGCGTTTCCGCCACGAGCACTACCGCAGGGAGTCAGCGTGAAACCCAAAGGAAGGAGGTGCTGAGGAAGTTTTTGAAGCACGCAGGGGAAACCCTTACATTGATACTCAACTTAAACGAAGCTCTGTTTTCCAGTTATAAAATACTATGTTTCGGTGATTTTTTTAGCCAACAACACCTCACTGCATCCTTATGTACCAACCCTGTGAACTTCAGAGTCATAGAATCACAGAATGGCTTGGGTTGGAAGGCACCTTAAAGATCATCAAGTTCCAAACCCCCTGCCACGGGCAGGGACACCTTCCACTAGACCAGGAGCCCCATCCAACTTGGCCTTAAACACTTCCAGGAATGGGGCATCCACAACTTCTGTGGGCAGCCTATTCCATTGCCTCACCACACTCACAGTAAAAGAATTTCATCCTAATATCCGATCTAAACCTACTCTCTTTCAGTTCGAAGCCATTTGAAGTCATAACCCCTTTTCCTGTCACTACATGCCCCTGTAAATAGTCTCTCTCCATCTTCTAGGCTCTTTGGGTACTGGAAGGCCTCAATCCTGAAACCTTCTCTTTTCTAGGCTGAACAGTCCCAATTCTCTCAGCCTTTCCTCATAGGAGAGGTGTTCCCTTTAATCATCTTGATGTCCTCTTCTGGACTTGCTCCAGCAGGTTGATGTCCTTCCTGTACTGGGAAGCCCAAAGATGGATGCAGTACTCTAAGAAAAATGAGGCTCTGCAAAACTAAGAATTGAGGGGAAATTTCATGGCACAGATCAGATGAATAATTCTCTCTACACAACAAAGCCCAAACAAATTGTAATCAAAAGCAGAAGAGAGACATGGACAAATTCTAATTCCCATTAAATGTCTGTGTTTGATTACTATTGCACTGAACACTCAAATTCTGGGAGTAAGATGAATGTCTAGGTCAATGAAGGAAAAAGATGATGTTAACAAGTCAGAATCTTAAAATGTTATTTTGATAACAATTTCAAATAACATGAGTTTTGGAGAAAGAAGGAAAAAACCCCACACCTAAACAACTTACCCAGTAGATTAATCTTTGTTGACTTCAGTACATAAATATACTTAAAATACATGTATGCATGTGTCCTGGTTCTGGACAGGACAGGGTTAATTTTTGCAGGAGCCATGAGGGCACATGTCTGGGACCTGCAGGTTATTCTATACCACCACACATCATTTTCCAGGAACAGGGAAAGGGTCTACTTCTGGGTTGGGGAAGTGTGGCACAATCCGGTATGGTCGAGGGTTTCCACAATAACATTTCTTGTACACTCTGATATTAGTATTGCTGCTGTTACTGTTCATTTTCTTATCTCATTGCTGTTTCCAATAAATTTTTCTCATTTCAACCTGTGATCTTTAACTTTTGTGCCTCTAATTGTCCTCTCCAGCCTGCCACAGGAGAAGGGCAGGGGGAACAGGAACACTGAATTGGGGAATACCATTCCTAAACCATGACAGTATGTTATGTATTTTAGGTACATAAATGTACCTAAGTCAGGTGTGTCTTGTTTTGCAGACCTCCTTTTTTTTTTTTCCCCTGGAACTCGGAAAAGATAACCAATTTGCATTTTCCGCTTGCAGCTGTAAATGGCTCTGTAAAACAGAGGATATCTACCATTCCTACTGAAAAACAACTTCATTTTTGAGCAGCTTGTAGTTCATAAGTGCTGCTGAACTCATTTTGAAGCTAGTTTTTTCTCTTTTTTCTCTTTATTTCTGTATCCACTGTAGGGTCAGCTTTGCATGGAAATATAGGAAAACACAGAAAAGGAGTTCCTGTCTCATATGAGGGTCTCATCCCTTACCCTCCATTGCAAAGAATTGTGAAGTAGATACTTAGTACTGAGAGTTTGTTGTTCATCTATTTCACGTACATAGGTGTGAGAAAAATATGATGTCATCATTATACTCAGTTCTTGCCATAAAAAGAAATTTGTTTGGGTAAATTCTCTTAGAAAAAGGACTAAGTGTGCACACTGAATCAAAAAGCCCGAAACCCAACAACAACAAAAAAGAGCAGCTAACTAGTGTTGCCTGACCCAAGTGTTGTACACCAGCTAACCAGCCAGGTACCTGGAAGATTTAACTGAAAATTCAGCATTATTCAGTACATCCTGCCTTACATCTACCTTTAGCTGTGTCCCACGTTTCCAAGTAAAATCAGCATGCTGCTCTTTATCCTCAAAGCCAACCTTTTTCAAGCAGCCAACAGAAATTATCAATAATAATAATAATAATAGTTTACAAGAAATACGTACCAAGAATTATGATAAGTCTGTTAGTAAGCAACTATCCTTTATGTCCAATCTTTTGGGGAAAGTGAATGCAATCAGATATCCAGAGATAAATATTCAGAAGATCCAAAGATGAGGTTTTAACTCAAGGATCATTTTTGTCCTGTCATGGAAATGAAACCATCAAGCTTTATCTTAAAAGAGGTTTCTTGGTCCACCCTCTAGAGTGGAAAGCAGTTCTAGAAATGGAGAAGTTCAGAAAACTTCAGTTTTCAGAGTAAATTTATTCATGGACCTGATCTTGTGCTAATACTACTTTTAATTTAAAATGTTGTTTTCTCTTCATTTATTCCCCCACATGAAGTGTTATCATAACCTACCTCAACCTTCATTTTGCCAACTAAATTAGTCCTTGTTGCCTCCTAATTTATGTTCTTATCATATTCTTCATCATCCTGTTCTGATAAGAGTTATTGTGATGTTCAACATGGTGTCTGAATACAAGCTAAATGAGTTCTTAGCCTGTGAGATGATAGGAGTTTCCTTTACTGGAAATCTCTTGGCTGATGAAGAGTAGGAATATCACATTTGTGTCAGAATAGTGAGTTCTGACTGAGGTTAACGTTAATTTGCTCTTACCTGGGCCATCAGTGGAGCAAAACTGACTGCTTCTGTGGGCCAGGGGCTTGGCAGGAGGCAATAACAGTTTTTTTTGCTCAAAAGGAAACCCAGTAGATACTCTGTTATTTCGTCTGTCTTCTCAAAGATTTGCTGCTGCGCCAGAGAAACAAATACTTGTAAAACATATTAAGCTTGCATAAAATTCCATTGGTTTGGCAAAATGAAGTCACGTTAAGAGACAGAATTTTGCCCATATTGGGCAAATTAATTCTTTGGATATATTTTTTTAATCTCTACAGGTGGTCAAACTTTGGAGTGCTGTAGAAGAAATTACTTCACTACCTTCAGCTGTACTGGTTATTATTTTTGGCTGTTTCATACTTCATGAAATCTAGTTAATTATTATTGGGGTTTTTTTTTTAATACTTATAAGTCCTTCTGGGTGAATTTTACAAAACATTTATTTTTATTGCTTATATAACTGCGTACCTAAAATGTTTTTCTTGGTAGATAACTGTACTGTTTTTGCCAAAACAGATTCTATTTCAATTTGGGAAGTTGTTGGAAGGCTAATACGGGAATATGTTTTTCAGTGGTGCCTGTGCTATGTTATTAAAGTAGGCTTTATGGAGATGAAAAATGGTTCTTGACAGGAATCATAACCATTTGTTTACACTAAGATGTATGGCTTCATCCCATTTGGAATTCAGTGCCATGCTTCTCATACAGCGAATCCTTAACCCATGATTTCCTAACTGCCCGTCAGCCCTCAGAGATTTCTGTTATAAAATTCCCAGACATTTCGCAGCTGCATCTGGCCCTCCGTGTCCTGGAAGAAATGTAGACCTGTGATGAACCTGTGAATGCTCCTGTTTCACTGCATTTAAGGAAGTGGAGCTACCAGGATAACTGCAAATGCAGAACTGCTAAGAAAGGTCTGAAAGAAATCTCTTTATCTAAGTAGCCCAACAAGCAACCTCATCTTACAATCTCTTTCTCAAACTGAGCAAGTATCTTCTTAAAATATCTAGGCCTCTTGCCACCAGTATTTCTAAGGAAAAGCTGTTATAACACTTTGGTGCTTTAATCACTAGAAACCTTGTGATTAATTCCTTGCCTAAATGCAGATGTGATAGATTTTGTACTCACTTATTTTCTGGCAAGTAGGTAAGCTTAAGCGATTCTTTTCATAGTTTTTCCTTGATGGATTTGTAGACAAAGAAAGGTTCTCATCAGCCTTTGTTTTGCTTGACTAAATAAGAAATGCTCTTAAAATTTTCTGTCATAAGACATTATTTTAGTTTCTCCATGTATGAATCCATGGATGGATTCAAGTCAGACATCAGCCTGAACGTGACTTGTATAAAAGACTACAGGTAATGCCTTATTGATGCTTTTAAGAATTTACTGGCTTCATTATCTCTTGTGGGATTTTCCTGGTACATCCCAGGATCATGTTTGCACTATCTTTGCAGAAACAGTTTCTTTCCACTCTGTAATCAGCTGGTTTTCCTTGGTTTTTCCTCAATGGCTTCCAAATAACTGAGTATAAAGTGAGAATTCCATAGCATTTTATTGTTTTTAATAGTTCCCTTTTTTTATGCCTGTTGCTCACATTCTGGTCATTTTGTTCACACCTCCCGCCCCAAGGTTGTCTTCTGATTTCATGTTGTCATCATAGTGATGCCAAGGATACTGATAAAAAATCTTCAGTAATATCAGCCCCAAGACTGGTATTTCAGGAAGTAACCATTAGTGACTTTGAACCTCATACTGTTCATTTTCAGTATGGTATATGACTAACTTTTATTCAGTTTCTTGTTCACCTCCTGTTCCTACTGCCAATTCCATCATTTCCAGCTTAGTTCATACTTTTCCACATAACATCACATCTAAAGCTGCACGGG